CCCGACAATGTGGTACGCGGCACGCTCGAGGTTTCTCATTGTGAGGGTTCGTATTGCTCATCAATTCCTGTGTTCAACTTGTTTCTATTGGTAAGGTGGGCGAAATGCTGGGTTACATTTAAGAAGATTCAGCGTCCATACAAAGTCACAGGCCTGCTTACTTCGCATGGTAAGCAAAGAATACAAAGAGATTAAGAAAAGCATTAAATTCATATCCTTGCCCAAGAAAGCAACACTAGAAGGACTACAAAAGCGTTCTCTTTTTTGCGCACCTTTCTTGCCTGAAAGGATCTTACAAGCGGTTTTCTGTCATTCATAACATTGTGTGGGTTGTGAGTTTCTTGTCAGGAGCGCGTAGGTTTATCAATGATCTCTTGTTCTAGGTCTCTATAGGGTTCGGCGGGACCGTCGTGAGTGGAGCTACGGTGTTTGGTTATTTGATTCTAGTTATTGTTTGCCGAGGGGTATCATCTGTTCCCTGTCGTCCCGTTGTCCATTGGGTTCTCCGAGAGGGTGCTAATAACATCTCCATTCGCACCTTTTCTTGGGTACTTCAGCAGTATTGCAATTGGTCTCTTACAATTCGACGCTCGGCTGGATAGGTTGCAAATCAAGTTCGTCGAACCGGTTTTAAGTACGTAATGATCTACTAGAAAAAACGGCCATAAAAGAAACTTCATAATAGCATAACTTTTATGGCACAGCCGCAGGCATATTAAAATACCTGTCACAGTTTCAAGGCCAACCACCTGCAATTGAGCAAGTGAATTTTTATTTATAAATGTTTGATTGGTTGGTATTGTAGTGTATTGTGAGTGCTTGTATTTTTCACGTAGAAATGCACTGGTTGCCTATATTGTCCTCTACCCATTTATATGAGAAGAATTCATGCTTATGTCGTGCTCGTTGTAGGAAGTATTGTCTGGTGGAGCGTATGCACTATGTGATGCAGCTGGTGATTGGTTTCGTGTGATAGCTGTGGTTCGTTTTTCGTTGATTTGCATCGAGCAGCCATTTCTACAATGATGGCTTGCATGCAGGAGCTCCCACGCTCTGGTACAATCAAGTGCTTCTTCTGTGATGTGGGCGTATACGGCGTGTATCCAGTAGTGGATCTCCGTCTTCTTCCAGATCCTGGTCACCCTATAATGTGTCGTGCGTTCACTTCCTTTACTCTCCCACTTGTTTTTCTTGTTTTTGTGTTTGTTTCTTGCACGTCATTGAATTATTTGTGGAATTTACTTTCTGCTAGATTGACTTTTGTATTGTTGCTTTCCCAAATTCGTTGTCGTTCACCTCGTGCTCCATGTTTCAGGTGGTGCTCTTGCCAAGCGAGTAAATCTTGCTCTACCTGATTACGCAATAGGCCAAGCATCGGATGATATCCTGCGCTCTGTTCTCTTTGAGAAGGATGCTATGGGAAACTTTATTCCGGTTCGGGTGCAGGTTGGTTTTCACGAGATTAGCAGTTATGCTTTGTGGATGTTTCTCTCTTGGAATTCCTTTTGACAGTTGTCACATTCAACCAATCCTGAACTGAGTCGAGTTTCTCTCTTTCTTAGGACCTATTGTGCGACTTATTTGTTAAGCATTAGTGGTAGGGTGTGGCGGGGAGGCTCGCGGCTATCATGTTGAGTTATCTGCTGTTACATTGATACCACTGGTTCAATATGATGCTGACGGAGCTTTATCAGCTTTACTTCATCTCGGATCTTCTTCTGTAGGTTTCTTCTACCGTATTTCACATTGAAGCGGTTCCTGGTTCCTTACTGAACTTATGCAAAGTTCTCGATGCTAAAATGTACGGGCGGTTGAGGGTTACAGCAGAACAAAGGGGATATTTTTTCCACAAGTACCGTTCTTTGGAAGTCAGTACAAGAAAGCCGTTTAGTTAACTTCCTTAACGGAAACGGAGTTGGACGGCGAGATTGTTTCAATTGCTGACCTTTGGATGACTGATGGAAGGGCGGTTGTCGAAATAGTGATGACGAATATTCCAGATGGAAAGGAAGGCAACAACGGTGTAAAGTAAGTTCCATTTGTTTTCATAGTCACTGGCGTCTTCTTAATTTTCTGCAGGCCTATCTTGAAAGACGACAGTCATTCACAGATGTGCTGTGAGGTCGCCACTACTACAATAACCTTTATTAATTCCATTTTATAAGCAAACGAGTAGGTCAAAAATTTCTCTGCCATAAGTACTTCTGAGAAGTTGCCTAAATAAGTTCTAGGAGAATATTTTGTAAGCCTTCACAAATTCTGAACCCCCGAATTTCCAGTGGCGTTTGAATGATCGCCTTCTCCGTTCTCCGATACAATATTTGGCGCTTGCAACATCGCATTTGTCACCGAAATGTCGCGTCACGAAATGCATTATTCAGTAGACATAGGCTATTAGTATTGTTTTGATTGCATGGCTTCACGGGAGCCATAGCCTTGTTTATAGCGGAATAGCGCTTCTTGTAGGCAAATTCAACATTCAACATCAAAATAGCAATAATCTTGGATAGTTTTCGATTTATTAAGATACTACAAACTACACCATACACGATTTGTTGAAAAATGTCCTTCATCGCTAGGAAGCAACGTAAATTCGGTGGTTTAGGAGATAATATTTGTTTACTTCAATGCTATCTTCTATGTTTTTCTGATATTTAGAATCATGTCAGAGCAAAATATTATGTTAAATCAACCTGTTTTCTCTCAAGTAACGATGCCACATCTTCCACAAGAAATGCTCCTGCTGCTGTCAGCCTACCACCCACGGTTTGCGTGTTCGACGGTGATGTGGAGATAGTACCTATGGAAATAAGCCAGATACCAACGGGCGCCTTCTCAGCAAATGCGCTCTTTGCTGCAGGTCCAGCGGACATAAGTCTGCGTCAAGTTTCACTCGTAAGTGTTTTCTGAGTTTTGTGTCGAATGCTGTCCTCTTACTTTCAAGATTTATCTTGTAATCGTCTGTTTGACAACTATTAGTAGTATGTTTTTTTCTAGGATCCTATGCCTGATTATATGTACGGCAAATTGTCTGAAGAGTCTCAGATGGCCGACGCTGAATTACAAGATCCACCACGCCCAGGCGCATTTTATGCTGCACGTATCGATGACCGATGGGAACGAGTACAATGCGTCCGGGCCAGCAAAATAGGTATTTGGTACAGCTGTCGTCTAATGAGTAATTTATTCATTTCATCCATCCTTTTGTAGACAAATCGGCTTTCTGTGTATATCTGATTGATGTTGGGGCCTTTCATTACGTGAGAGCGGATGCGTTAAGAAGGCTCAACGC